ATTATTTTCTATTATGGAACTTGAATTGCACAGCAGAAAATAAAATGAACAAACAAACAATCCCATTTATAATCCATTTAAGAAGAACACAATTCCGTTTAGCCACGGGGATCTGAGTAACTGTTGGAAAAAGCTTGTAATATGCATAACTCCTTGTATGTGGCATGAGCTTTTAAATACACTTTCTCTTTTTCTATCCTTCCCAATGTTTTTTTTTTTTTTTTTTGCAATCCCATAAAAGTACTTTCAGTTCTTCTTATTTTTCACTAGCACCACAGGATAACATGGTGCTGAATTCCTGAATATCAGCCCTTTCTCCTTTTTCTATCAGATGTTTCCAGTTCCCAAATTCAGCTCTTTGTCTCTGTTCTTTGTCTCAGACTGCAGAAACACTAAAGTAATTTAACTTAATTCCAGAATTGTGAAATAATTGGGTGTTGGGAATAAACTTATTGGGATTCTCAAAAAATGTGATAAACCTATACTGAACCTCACAGTGGATAAGTATACTATGAGTCAAGCATGGGATGGGTATTTTCTTTCTCCCAATCTGTTACTTCTTCTTTTTTCCTCTTCCACGGCTACTTAAATTCTATAGGGACTTGGAAGTTCCTGTACCAGGCAGAATCAAGCACAAACCAGAGGCTTAGAGGTGGAGGGAGCCCTGTGTAAAATAGTTACCAAAATTTCCCATATGAGTACAAATGGACTGTATTAATAATCTAATATGAGCAGGGGGGGAGGAATTTTGTTGTTCTTCTATTTTGTTGTTGGGAGTTAGAAACCCTCTAGGAACCATAGCTCTCTCTGCATCTTATGCCCCTCCTTGTTTGGAGAGATGTTAGGTTCATATTATGCTGATGTGATTCATAACCTCTGAGCTTCAATCAATCTTGCAACCTCTGTTTTCTCAGTTTTTTATCATAAACAAAATACATAAGACACTATCTACCTATTTTTGCCAAATGGCTGAATGTGGCTTCCATGGTAGCAGAGACAGGCATATCTTGACTTGAAGATATGCAGATTGGGTACATTGTGCTTCAGCAAGTAAGCAGCAGTGTTGATTCCTTTCAAACTGTGGTTCTCCAGATTTTGGCTTCTCTCTAAATAGGCAAACACTTGTCCAAGAAGTCTTGAAAGCTTTGAAATCTTATCCAAGGTATGGATGAATCTAGGTAGTTTGAAAGGACAAGCAACCCTTCCATTGGTAAATGAACCGACACTGCAGCAAGTTTATGACAGAGCAGTTGTGTTTCCCATAACGTATTAATGGATTGTGAGTTCAGAACAAACACAAGAAGCCAGTTCTAAAGACTGTCTAGTAAAAATACTGGGAGTGCTCCATGCTGTTTGGAGAGACTTGTTTGAATTAGGAGCATCAGATGAAGTGTCCTTTACAGAAGTGAAATACATTGTCAACTCCAGGACCTAAAAGGACTAAAGAGTGTTAGCATACCCTAACTGGCATTGTAGTGACACTATCCTGGAAGAAACCACACTTGGAAACTATGCAGAATGTTAGGTTTGTTTGTTTTTTATAAGAATACTTTTTATTGAAAATTTTAAGAGTAATAAGAGATTATGCAAAATGAAATTACAAAAGAAAGGAAAAGTAGAAAAAGAAGGGATACAAAGTACAGGAAATAAAAGAGACAGAAAAAACAAAGAAAAAGATATTTAAAGAACTGACTTCTGATCTCCTTTACAGCAGTTACTAGCAAGCTTAATATCTCTCCTCCCCCTTTCACGTTACATAGATCACTTCTTCCCATATCTCAACCCTTCTCTATTTTGTTTTCCAAGACTTTCACCTTGACTTTAATTTGGTTTACCACTCCATTCAGTCATCCTACAAATCCTTCCAAATTATTTTCCATCTTATCTTTTGTCTCTTCTTTGAGATCTCTTTTAAATGATGCATTTAAATAGATATTGATGCTCTTATTGTAGCTGTGAATTTCTTTCCCAGTTCCTCAAAGGTCCTTAGAAATGTCTCAAATATAATACCTTTGTTTGTCATTTCTGTAAGTTTCACTTTCTACTAACAGCCATTTCATCCAGCACAAAAGTAAAAGGAAGGGCTTTTCTTTTTCTTTTTCTTTTTCTTTCTTTTTCTTTTTCTTTGTTTTTGTTTTCTTTTTTGCCCTTCTCTAGTTCTTAAGTCTTTGGTCCCCTCTGTACTTTGTATTTTTATGATCACGTGGTCTGTCTCAAATTTCCTTTACCTCTTTATTTTGAAAAATCCACCAATCATCTCTTCACCGAAAGTGAAGTCTGCATTCCCATAAAGGTATTATTTATTTAATTTCAAAAACACTTTAGCAAAAGTCATAAGATTTCAAATTTGACTGGTCCCTTACTCCATTTAAAACTTTCATAGATTGAATTCTCAGATCTCTTTTAGTGTTAGAATAGTTGTAATCCAAAAGTCCTTTAGAAAGTGAGGTTTAGCGAACTCAGTGTCCTTATAGGCTCCACTGTGGCTGGGAGCTTGTTGTAATTTTTGCATCTCCCAGTGCTCAGACTCACAAGTTGACCACAATCTTGTGGTCTCCTCGCAAGGAGCAGCCATACAGAGCACAAGTGGGCAATCTCTCGGCCTCTCCTTGTCCAGAGAGGCTCCGTTATCCGGGGCTTGTCACCTGGCTGTTGGTTGTCGCCACAGCATCATCTCCGCTCCTTCAGAGATGTCTTATTCCGCCATTGCCTCACCTGGAAGTCCCCGCAGAATTCTAGATCTTAACACTACCCAGTTGGACATATAATCCAGCTCTAGGATCTCCATTATTATTTCCAGAAACTTAGCAGCAAAGAAAGATATGGAGCCAAAACGATTCCTAGACTAGCATATTTGGCAGCACGAGGCCTCTAATCTCTGAGCTCTATTGGGTAGGAGGAGATAAGAACCAACATCTATTCTAGCTCTGAACTCTTCTGACACTTTATGAAGAAGGCAACAAAACAGATACAAAGCTATCCAATTGTTAGTTGGCTTTTGCTGGTGCAACCCTTTCCTTTTTTATCCAGTTCTCTGTTGAAATCAGATTTCTTGTCTAGACAGTGTTTCTGCTGATATTATATTTTGTGCCTTAAATTTGTTGGATGCTTCCCAGCTTTATCTGTATAATAGAAGACTGAACTGCTCTATTCAGAATTAGCTGGAAAGGACTGTGGTTCAGAAGTATTTAGCAAAAACTTCTAAGGGTGTAGATTCAGTTCTGGTTGTATTAGAGAGATCCTATCTTGCCTTCTGAAGACCAAGAATGAAAGCAGCCAGATTTGACTCAGAAGCTTGGAGACATCTGAACCTGATACACACTCCTAAGCCACCTTTCACCTGTCTATCTATGGCAGGAATTCTACTCATAGTTCTGAGCTACCAAGGATTATTTTTAGGTGACAATCAGTGGAACTCTTCCTTCTTTCTCTGAGTTTGCAGGTAATAGATGATTTGATAAAGTTGATTTCAGGGAATTTGGGGTATTGGAACTCAGAGCACAAATTACTGTACCAGTTCACCTGATGGAGAGTGCTTATAGTCTACTCTTAGGAGCAGTTGCAAACCGACTGGTGCCAGTAATGCAGGAATGAACCATAGAACAGAAAAGGGAAAAAGTATTACTGTTCAATAAAATATTGCATCCAAAGTAAAGATAGGACAGAATTTTGGCATTTCCAAATTTTTAGTGCTATTGTTGTGCTTAGTAACATGCTTTTAAATCATACTGGCCTTTTGATAATCAAGATATCAGGTGCTGACCCTTCCAACTATTTCAGAACATAACAATATTTTTGTTCTTTTGTTCCTTTCCTAATCATAAGATAAAATACATAGATTCATTAAAATTATAAGAATTGTGTCACTGATCTTAACAAGATGCCAGTTCAATATGAACCAGCATTACAATAATGTGAGCCCACACTAAGCCAGTATCACCTCCTCTGACTGGCAGTCCTAGGCAGGAGTCTTTGCAACTAAAAAATAAATTTGAGTCTCTACACACTGCAGTGCAGGAATTCCTCTAACAGTGCCGCATCTTTTGCATACAATTCACCATTAACATATTGTGCTTATCTTAGAAGTTAGGCACACTAAGTATCCCAGTTCAAGCTGTTTACACTGAAGCATGATTTACATATGAAACAGAGTGTGGTAGTGAATAGATACCAGGGATCTGATTATGTATACTTCCAGGTATACTAGCCCTAGCACTACAAATCAGAAGGTATTATACAGAAGAGAAATGAGAAAACGTGGGAGGGTTGCATAGGATTCTATATTTAATTCCAAATTGTGCAAATTGCAAAATAAAAACTTCATGTAAAAGTACCCTCAGACTAGGCAGAAGCAAACCCGATGTCTTATGCTGCTGTGGAACTCAGTAGGTAATTTAGGCCATATCAACATAGCCTAATATGTCTATAGGATTCCTGTGAAGAATTAGCAAACTGCTGCTTGAGCTTTTCCAAGGAAGGGTGGAATAAAAATATAAATGTCAGTAACCCATCAGATTAGGCCTTTGTAAAGTTTATAACAGATTATTCATTCTAACCAGCATTTCAGAGTTCTCTATATTGATCACAAGACTGGTCCATCTCATAACTTATACTTGACTGGAGGGACAAGAGGGAATTTGGAAAGGAAGAATGTGACTACATACAGACAATATTCTTATTAATGTGATGAAGATATGCTGAGCTTCAACATCATATAGGAGTTGTAGTTCAATATATTTGAAGGGTACCAAGTTGTTGAAGTCTGTAAGAAAGAAACCAGAATATTCTTCTCTACATCTTGGTACCCACCCAAATTCTTGTTTTTAATAATCTCAGTCCTCCAGCATCCATAAGATAGAGAATTCTCTCTGCCCTTTCTGCACAACTGTCTTCCTTTGCTTTGCCACACCTTCAACAACATACAACATCAAAATATAACAGCAGAAGCATGGATAATATTGTAATACTCTGACTTCTCTACCATTATTTTCCCTTTGCAGGAAAGCTTGGCTGACCAGCGTTGGAAGTCCTGGCTCACGCATTGACCGGACAAATTTTTCTAATGAAAAGGAAATCTCAAAGCTTGAATTCTCTGGATTCATCACAAGATACTGATTTAAAAAACCATAGAATTATCTTAATTCTACCATTGCATCAAAATCTCCAGGTTTCCCTATTGCATATTAGGAAAATGTAACAATTCTCTCATTTACATTCTGGTGAAATTGTTATGCAGTGTGTTAAAGCAAAAAAAAAAAAAAAAATAGTACCACTTTGTTAAACATTTTTCTTCTTTACAGATACTTTAGAAACCCCCCCCCAATTAAGGTTACTTCTACAAATTGGCGTGTTATTCCCATGTTATTAAGCATGTTGTTCTGTTATCATGTGCTTGTTTATTTGGAAGTGAATCCCTTTTTATCCAACAGAATTACTCCAGGTAATTGTATAAACCCTGCAGCTTTAAGGATTTGTCCCAAAAGTAAGGGTGGAATTATTTATATCTTAAAATTAATATATATGACTACATTAGGTGAAATAATTTACTAATTCCTTAAACATTTAATTCTGGACACTCTAAACCAGTCTCAACCAAAATGTTTTACAATACATTAAAACAATTTTTAAAACTTTATCTAGTTCTCTGACCAATGAACGTTCCCCTCCCTATTGCAATCAGAAGTCATTTGTCATCATTATTCCTAGATGAGGGAAATACTGCATGTGCCACATTAAATTTTGAAAGGAATGTTGATGGTATTTTTTGCACTTGTGGTAACAGTGCTGAAATAAATTTTGATTGCCATAAAAGCAGTTTATCTCTTGTCTGGGTGGATCCACTTCCTCTTTGTTGCTGCCCCCTTGGTTCATCTCTTG